ACGCTCAGCTCCCTGTGAAGTCACCATACAATTCAGGACACAGATAATCCATAAGCCTCTGTAGATACCCATCTTCTTGTAGATACAGCCATTAATAAATGAGGCCATAAAAGAGGGGAAGGCAGTCTCCCGAGCAAACTTGAATCTGATTCTGACTCTGATGTATCCTGGCCAGATTGGCAGGGGTGCCGGAAGCAGCAGCTTGAATCTACTGTCATTTTATCTATCTTGAATGCTTTTTTGTTTTAAGTTAAGCTATCTTCCTATGTATTTTGTACTATCCTATATAGAGTCTATCTTCAGGTCTGTTGTCATTACAAGACTGTTTTATCGATCTGTATAGTAGGGGGCAAAAACTGATTTGCACATGACAGATTTACAGCACAGGAAGACCACTTGAAAGTATGTTTTAAACTTGTTTCAAATAGAATTTTTTTGTGTGTTTGATCTGGAGGAGTCAGTACATTCCCTCATGGGGTCCCAGGGAATGAAACCAAAAATGGGACAGACTCCTCTGTCTGAACTTGGAAGTTGGATAAGAACAAACTTGAATCATTGTTGAAGACCTATTCCAAACACATTTAGTTCTGTTGTCTGATATATAAGCATGCTGTAATATATAAGGAAGAATATATGGGATTCACAAGGCTTGGAACAAGGTACACATTTTGAAATAAAATAGGTATTCATTCATATTTGATTAAAACCACAAAGTTGTCTGCTATTGCTGATATTCCATGTCTTACAGTCTCTGCTGCAATGATAAGTCACGATATGGATATACTGATCTGTTTTGGGATGCTAGGCCACATGGACGGAAATTAGCAATCTCTGTGTTCCCAAACTAAGAATAAAAGCTCTGTTTTATTTTTATCTACAATTGGTGACAGTATTAATCACAATTGTCTGTACTCACCTTGTTCTTTAAGTGTTTTATTCTCATTTATAATTAGATGGTACGCTTCTAAAGCAAAGACTGTGTCTCACAGGTTAATACCACCTGTCTGACATATTTAATTTAAATAAAATGTGATATTATGTAAGCTGCATTCTAGAAAAGTGAAAGATATTAATTTTTTTATTATGTACAGAAACGCTGGCTAAACGAACAGAAGTCAGTCTTTCATTCTGCACTAAATTTAATTTTCTTAAGGATTTAAGTTTGCTTTAGAATTATTTTACAACATTGCAAATTTAATTTATTAAATAGAAAGAAACTAGGAGCTAAAAGAAAGTTTAAAAAAAGCCAGTCACCTTTATATTTTGAGTTCCCAAGAATTCATCTCATGGCTTCATTCTTCCTCATATTTCATTGCACATTTCTGTGAAAAGTAAATGAATCACCCACATATATTAAAATGTTTCTTAAAACAGATAGATGAGTATGGATTTTTACATACAAAAAATTTACACCTGCACACGCAACATGCATAGGTACATAAAGTACGATCTTAGGATAAGTGTATGTATGTGTACAGCTCTACTGAATACTTAGTGGTATGTTGTAGAACCCCTGGGTAAGTCTTTATGGATTTGATTTATTGGCTGACTGAGTTGATTCATTATTTGTATATGATTTTTTGCTGCTGGGTGGCCACAATTTACAAATCTGGACCTAGTTAACTCTATGGGTGCCTACAGTTTTCTGTATGAACATCCAGCTTTTTAAAGAAATAAGTTAAGTGGACTTGCTTGAATGAACAATTTACTCATGAAGAGCAAAATATGGGCAGGCAGGCAGGTCCTAGAAAATAGCTTTCAGTAAGTCTTTTTAAGCCACTGTGCTATTATATATTCTCTTAACATACATACAGCAATTCATACATGTTACAGGCAACTGAGGATCATCTGTGAACTGCTGATCACAACCTTTTTCTCTCATGGGTATTCAGTGCTATTCTTATATTTTCTCCTTGCACAGCCCTGATAAATTTGGTGGTAGACGCAGAACAGAGCAAAATTCTGAAGACGCGTGAAAAGTCAAAAAGTGCCTTGGCATAATTTCTGTATAAATTTCCATCTTTTCAGAATTTGACTTAAGGCTTTGACAGTCAGCAAAGCAATTCCTCTCCCATTATATGCGCTATCTACCAGAGCAGTGGAAGAGAACTGTTTGTTGTATCTTGTTCACTAGGAAGAAAGGACTTCTCTTTGTGTTCAGTGTGGTAACAGCTCTTCTGGAGGTTTAGATGAAATGTTACACCGCCTGTTGTTTTTTCAAACCATTGTATCATTTGCTACTATAAAGTCCAACTGGTGTATTCTGGGGTAGGGGCACAAATATTAGAAGAGTCAAAGCACTCAAAATGCCTTGATTAACTGTTAACTATCCACAAACTATGACTAGTTTAATTTGAATTATTTTAGATACTATCCCCCAAAGGTGATTTGGCTCTTTACTGCTTTAAATACCAGATACGAACTTAGAGTGCTGGGCTTACTGGATGTAAACTTACCCAGACAAAGAAATGTAGCAGTGCTTCTTTATGTGTTCCTACAAAAATTCACATGCATGTATCTCATGTGCTTTGTTAGTTAAAGCCACTGGTCTACAACCCATAGGTATGTCTAGGATATCCTGTTGAGGGAAAAACTGGCAAACATTGGACATAGATAGTGTAAATTTGTCATAGTTACATATTTGATTTTAAATGTCTTGTTAAAAGAAGGGCTTGATCCATCTTACTGAGATCATGGGTACCTCGTTGTTAAAATTTAATTAAAAACTCGGGTAGTGACCCAAGAGAGGAAATGTGCTTTCTTCCAGCCATCTGCAAAGGCTCTAGTTACAGACATATGTGATTCCATACACACTTGTGGTATATTTTATTGTAACTGTCTAATTCATCACAATTTAATGTGGAATAGCCATCATTGTAGCTAAAGTTCTATACCCTTCTTCTGTTTTAAGAAAAACAAACAAACAAGATCAACAAAGGAAAACCCTTGGGAAAAATAAACTAAATGCATTCAGAATTCCATCTTGGAAGAGCAGCTTCCTTCAATAGGCGTGTCATATCTTTGAAAGTCTGCCTTAACATCCATTAGGGAATGTTTCCTCTGCCTCTTCTTCCTTATGTAAATCTCAAATAACTTGGATGAAAGGCAGCTATATGTGATATATTTAGTTGTTCAAATATTTCTGCTTCAATGCTTCTCTCCATCAATGCCTTGAAGAGAGTCTTGTGGTGATTCCTAGAAGAAATTCCTAGGATAGTTGTTGCTGAAGGTTACAATTTGTGCAAAATACACAATTGTGTCACATTGTAGTGGGTTTGAATGGGATTTTCTGAAACAGACAAAGTAACAGAGGAGCACAAGTGCTACAGAACACCAGTGGGACTTAAGCTCTTAAGATGTGTGAAAATCACTGTTTTCCGTTTACATGGGTTTGAAATCAGCAGCTGAGTTGGTGAATTCTCATGATACAGAAATAAATTTTTTTTTGTTAAATCCAGTGCATTCAATATTAATATACATTAACAGTATACATTTCTGCATATATATCTGCATATACAAATATCCAAAAATGCATGTGGATTTTTTTTCTATTAAATTATATGCTACATTCTCTTCTCATGCTTACCATTTCAGGCAGTCGGCAATCAGATTTTTGAAAAATGTGTATTTGCAAGTCACCTTTATTTTTTTTATTCTTTGTACCTTAAATCCCCCTTGAAATTTCATCGTTACTATGTTTGTGGATGATAAAGGACGTATCTTTTCTGTTCTCAAAAAAGGAGTGCCAAAGGCAACAGAATGAAATTTGTATGCAATGCTGTATGTGTTACACATGCATGTTCATTTATCTCAATAACTGACTGTCATCTTTTTGTGCATACATCTTACAATGATAATAAGAGCCCAACGCTGCTCAAGATGTCAAGTTTTCAGGGATAGATTTCTAGCTGCAGGCAACTTGAGCAAAATGCCTCATATTGAGAACACTTTTGTGCTTGTCACTGACCACATTAGACCCTTTCATGTAGCTACATATGTGGCTTTTATTTATTGTTTACTTCCACCCATGCCTTGAACTGCTGTGGTTTTCATATGTGATTGGACTCATAAGCGGTTGTAATTAATGTCATTAAGTGACATTTTTGTATAGTAACATAAACATGGTACGTATTCAGTTGCTTACACAAATTTTGCTGCATTTTGGTAAACTCTGAAACTTGTTCAGCTATTTTGTTAATCAAATGGGAGAATAAATACTTTTAAAGGGAGATCAGGTATTTTCATATGCATTTAGCATGTATTTTTTAACAAAATAATAAGATTAGAAATCACAAAGGGAAAGTATGTTTTCGAATTTTGAGGTTATAGGAATGCCATTAGCTTCCAAAAACTGAATTCAGAATTAAGAGCAGAATGTTATTTATTTCCCAATAAGGATTTAATTGCTTCTTGCCAGCTGCTTATCAGCCTTTAAAATTACTTATTTAAAGGAGAAGAACAGAAGAATTAAAATTTTCCTTCACTTCTTTTAGAAATGAAAACCAAAACAAGCACAAAATTCATGAATAATAATAAGCATGACCATCGGTAGTAAAACATACAAATATTTCTTGTCAAGAAAAAGTAATTGCAGCACTTGATGGAAAAATGAGATTTATGTCTAGTGCTAATTTTTACTCTCCACCTGATTATATCAGACTGAAGTAGCATGTAGGAAGGAATTGTAGTCCTTCTGGCCAGCGAGCATTAAATAGACTGTTGAACAGTCAGTGCCACATTATGTATAATGAAGACAAGAGTAATAGGGGTCCAGATTTGAGAAATGTTAGAAAACTGAGAGGCAAGATTTTTTTCATAAGAGAGGGAAACTAGGTTAATTGTAATTTTTTTTTTTTTTTCACATTTCTGTATGATTTGGGAAATATCTGATAGCTTGGTTTATTTTCAGTATCTGTAAAAAAGCCTTTTTCAAGTTAAAAAATGCTATTAAATTGTTAGTTCACATTAAAGTGGTCTTTATTATCCTTGATTTGTCCTAGATCAGAGGAGGAAAGCTTATGATCACATACACAAGAAAGAATGATGCTGGCAAATATGTTTGTGTTGGAACAAATATGGTTGGAGAACGTGAAAGTGAAGTTGCAGAGCTCACTGTTTTAGGTAAGAACTCCTTTAAGAATATGTTAATGAAATGTCCAACTTTTGTTTTTTCCTAGTAAGCCTTTTATTAAGGATCATTCTCATCTATTTCCTTTTCAGTGTTTATGTTGACATTTTTTTATGTTCTAGCAAAGGGTTTGCAGTTAATGGCTTTATAACTACCCTCGGACTGTTTTTGCTATCAGAAGGTGTTTCTTACTTAGCTGTCAAACTGAAAATAATTCCAGTGTCCACTGAATGAGTATTGTAAAATAACACAAAAATTAACATCGCTGAGAAGCAGAAGCTTATTTTTTCACTCTTGTTGAAGAAAATCAGAATTGTTCTAAATTTCTATTTTAAATAATTATCCTGTCACTTCTAGTTGTGTGTACTGAGTGTTGTAAAGATACAATAGGTCTACTTATTGAAGTGATCCTTTAAGCATTTTCATTTAAGATTTCTGATCTTAGCTAAAAGTTGCTAAAGTTGTTTTTTGATGCTATTGCAGAAGAGAATTTGTAACTTCAAGTGTAATCTCAGAAGACCTTCAGCATATCAAGACATGGGGGTCATCAGGAGCAGTCAGCATGGTTTTATCAAGGGTAAATCATGCTTGACTAACCTCATAGCCTTCTATGAGGAAATTACTAGGTGGATAGATGATGATAGAGTGGTAGATGTGGTTTATGTTGATTTCAGTAAAGCATTTGACACCATCTCCCACAGCATCCTTGTAGATAAGTTGATCAAGGATGGGTTTGGTGATCAGGTAGTGAGGTGGATCAAGAACTGGTTGAAAGGAAGGAGTCAGAGAGTTGTAGTCAATGGGGCAGAATCTGGTTGGAGGTGTGTGACTAGTGGAGTCCTTCAGGGGTCAGTACTGGGACCGGTGTTGTTCAACATCTTCATCAACGACCTGGATGAGGGTATAGAATGTACCCTCAGCAAGTTTGCTGATGACACTAAGCTGGGAGGAGTGGCTGACACACCAGAAGGCTGTGCTGCCATTCAGAGAGACTTAGACAGGCTGGAGAGTTGGGCGGGGAGAAACCTGATGAAGTTCAGCAAGGGGAAGTGTAGAGTTTTGCATTTGGGGAAGAGAAACACCATGTACCAGTATAGGCTGGGGACTGACCTGCTGGAGAGCAGTGTAGGTGAAAGAGACCTAGGGGTCCTGGTAGACAGGAGGATGACCATGAGCCAGCAATGTGCCCTTGTAGCCAAGAAGGCCAATGGCATCCTGGGGTGCATTAGAAAGGGTGTGGTTAGTAGGTCAAGAGAGGTTCTCCTCCCCCTCTATTCTGCATTGGTGAGGCCACATCTGGAGTATTGTGTCCAGTTCTGGGCCCCTCAGTTCAAAAAGGACAGGGAACTGCTCGAAAGAGTCCAGCGCAGAGCTACGAAGATGATTAGGGGAGTGGAACATCTCCCTTATGAGGAAAGGCTGAGGGAGCTGGGTCTCTTTAGCTTGGAGAAAAGGAGACTGAGGGGTGACGTCATCAATGTTTACAAATAAGTAAGGGGTGAGTGTCAGGGAGATGGAGTTAGGCTTTTCTCAGTGATGACCAGTGACAGGACAAGAGGTAATGGGTGCAAATTGGAGCATAGGAGGTTCCATGTGAATATCTGAAAAAACTTCTTTACTGTGAGAGTGACAGAGCACTGGAACAGGCTGCCCAGAGAGGTTGTGGAGTCTCCTTCACTGAAGACATTCAAAACCCACCTGGATGAGTTCCTGTGTGATGTACTCTAGGTGACCCTGCTCTGGCAGGGGGGTTGGACTAGATGATCTTTCGAGGTCCCTTCCAGCCCCTACGATTCTATGATTCATGGGAGAATTGTGTAGGTGCAGCTTTAGTAGTTTTCAGAGTATCCAATTCATCATTTGAAACACACTGGTGTCCATCACAGTACTGCTGCAGTAGTCCTGACTTGCATTTTTTAATTTTTAATTTTTATTTTTTTAAAATTCAGATTTGAGATCTGTTGCAACAGTCTCTGGCATGTTTATCTGTATTCACTGATTTTTAGAGTTAGGTCACAGGCAACTTGAAGTCCTTTCCAGAGTTGCAATTAAAGTAGGTTTTTTTGTGATAAAATGAGATTGTATGCCATCTTAAAAACTGTTGAAACAGAATACCCAGCAAGATAGTCTCTAACTTTTTAGAAGCTTGGGAAGACTTCCAGTGATCCACTATACTGTGGGGTTTGTGTTTGTTTTTTTTTAATTTATGGTCACCTTTGAAGCACTTTGAGAGCATGTAATTGCTCATCACTAGTCTACTACTAACCAGGGAATCATAGTAAGAACTGTCAGGTAATCCAGGCTGGAATATATTATTCTTGCTGAACACCTGTAAAAGGGACAGACAGCAGACAGAGGTCTGTCTTTGCCTTTTCATTTCTCCTTTAGACACACTGCTGATTTTCCACCTGGGAAAACTAGTGAGGTTTTTTCTTTTCAAACACGACAATAAAGCTTTGGATGTCTGTGTCTAGAATCTTTAATACACCTTATTCTTTCAACTCAGGCCTTAGATATGCATGAGATAGTATGAGAAACATACTGACTTCCTATTGAAAAATCTTTAAACAAATATCTTCTGTTTATGGGCTTTTGTTGTTTAGAAGTTTTGCTTTTAGGTCTCTGCTTTAGATCAGAGGGAGTATTGTTTGCCACAAAGTGTAATACTAGAAAATTTCAAAGTGTTCCTTGCTACGTTTTCCTTGTGTTTAACAAATAATCATGTGACAAAGATAGATACTTACATCAGTGCTGATTCCCCTTATCAGTTCATGCATTTGAATAAGTGTGTTATGAATGGGCAGACAAAAGCCCTTGGAATATTACTCTTCCTTTAGGAAACTGATCTAGAGAACAGTGTGCTTCTTGTGGGTTTTGCTGTTGTGCAGCAGTCCTGGCTTTACCAGATCATTCATTTTTCTATTACATAGTTGAGTTGAACGTTCTTCCTGATACTATTCTTACTCAGTTTAGCCTGGAATGTTCTTTACTTGCATTCTACTGTGTTTCTACTGCACTTACAAAAAACGAGCCAGGGCGGGGAAGAATGTCTATGTTTGTATTTTTTTTACTTCACAGCTAGATTAATTTTTGTATGTCTCTGGCTTAATTCTCACTTCTTTTATATGAACCCAAGTTAGAACTGACAGCTAAAAGATCACCTTGGTATTTCACCTAGCATCCTTTGCCTAGCGTTGCAAGCAAAGGTAAGTTTTCAGCAACACAAATGTCCAGTTGGTCTGGGAATCCTTGAGAGTAAAAGAGCTATAGCATTTTCTTCACATTTCCACTTCAGTCCTTTTTTGAACCATTCACTAAGGTTTTGTAATATTGCCTCTCTGTATCTTTATCTGCAAAATAAAGTAATATTCAGAATCGGCCTTGTCAGACATAAATATGAGACACTAAGAATATGGGGTTGTCTCTCTATCCCGCTGTCTGGTGCTTTTGTACTCCTGTGAGAAACTTGTGACATATTTTTGGGTATTCTCACTTCCTGATTCTGCCAATGACATCAGACTCTTCCAGTTCCAGGGAGGTGATATTTATATCTTTAATACAGATAAGTCAAAACATGCAACTGTCTTCTCAACTCCCTCAGAACTTTTGCAGGTTTATAGGCAAAAATGTCATCTTCCTTAGGCAAAAGGAACCTGCCAAGCACTCTCCTGTTAAACCTTCCCTGTAGTTTTAAGAATATCCTGTTGTCATGTGGTGCTGCCTTTCTAGATGGGTTATCCTTCATGGATAATCCAATAAATTGTTAAAAACACTTTCTTCTTAATACATGTGCAGACCTCACTACACTCCAGCCTGGCATGGAACTGAGTAGCCCAGCACCATAAAGCTTTGCATCCTGTTGCAGGTAGAAATGTGTGTCAGTCCCTTTCCTGAAATTTCCAGCTAATAGCAGGCTTGCCAGAATAGCACAGCCTGTACTGAGATCCCCTTTTGTTTCAGAAAACCTGAGAAAAAGTGTGTAACAGTTAATCTGGTGAGCCAGAATTTGGGTCATCCATGTCCTACAGTGTAAGTCAGGGATAACAGCAATTTTTGTGAACAAAAATTACAGAGAATATGATGAGTTTTGTTCACTGGTTTTGTTTTATGTGGACTAGTGAAAGAAAATGTTGTCTTTCAAATATAGTTTTGGAAATGACTGCATCAATGACTGACTGCTGCTGACACCTGCAAGCAACTTCATGCAGATTCTGTTTTGGACCTTAGTTAGCCTTGGAATTTAGAGGCACCATTGTGTCCTAACCTCCAGTGAGATCCTGTTTGGTTTGTGCCTTCTGTCTTTTTGAAGCAATGCAGCAGATACATGGTCATTTGTCTGAGTCCTTGCAGCAGCCCCCAAGGATCGATGTGCATTTAGATTTTCTGTATAGGCTGTGTTTTTATTTAGCTATATAAGCTGTGACAGTGATACATAAGAAGAAAGTCAGTGCTTGGATCCAGATTCACTGTTGAGAATGTCTGCCCCCTGTGCTGAGGTTCACAGTGCTGCCCATCTGCAGGGCTATGGATCTTCTGCCTGGGGCTGAGAGCGAGAGGAGCAACGGCAGAGGCATCTCCATAAGATTAATCATCCAGCTCTCCTTGGCCTGACAGCCACAGTTCAAGGAAAATTGCAGTTTGGGCACAGAATGGCTGGATTAACCCATTTTTACCTTTCCATTCCTTTTAGAGAGACCATCTTTTGTGAAGAGACCAAGTAATTTGGCTGTGACTGTGGATGATAGTGCAGAGTTTAAGTGTGAGGCAAGAGGTGACCCGGTCCCTACAGTAAGATGGAGGAAAGATGATGGGGAATTACCAAAAGCAAGGTGTGGTACTTGGAGTTACGTTTTTATTGGTGTATGATGTAGTCATTCAGCATTTGACAGCTAGCATTTCATTTTCTTAAACGGAAAAGGCCTGACTGATCTAATAAGACATTTATAAATACAGCTGAGCGGTAGATGAAGTTAAATTTTTTATTGAAACTTAATAATGGCTTGTTCTTAAGCTTTTGTTGTGAAAACACATGATAAATAGAATTAGAAATAACAAATTTCAGTTGGTAATATCTATTACAGATTAATTTTTCACGGAGAATATATAACTAATAGTTTATTAGATGACAACATCAAAAGTATATATTGGGAATTACAATTGGTATGAAATGTAGTCTGGTAATGTAGAAAGCTGCCTTGGTTATCAGGACAGCTGTCTGCTGCCAGCTCTCCATCAGAACACCTGCACCGGGACAGCCCCACATCATCTGCTGATCTGTGGGGAGGTGGTGGCAGAAAGCTGTCCTAGACCCTTGATAATACATGGTTTTGTTGCTTAGTTTCCACTAAACTTTTTCTCCTTGTCATTGCTGTAATTCAGTCCAAAAGACTTTATTAAATAGAGACACATTTTGTGATCGATTATTTATTTATTTATTTAGAATTTCCAATCATCTGTTAAAAACCTATTAAGTGAGGAGATTGAAAGAAGAAACCCTGTAAGAGTTCGCTCCAGTCATATCTGGGATGATTGGGGGTTGGACTAGATGATCTTTTGAGGTCCCTTCCAACCCCTAAGATTCTATGATTCTATTCTATATTCCTGATCTACTTCTTATAAACTGACCACATTAGGCAAAGAAAAGAAAAAAGGGGATGAAAGGAGAGGTTAAAGGCTACATTTACTTGTTTTTAAATTATTGAATGAATTGTGATTTATCTTGACTTTCAAGCAATTCTCATCTTCTTGATAACAATATTTTCAACCATATACAAATATTCTTTCATTCAGGTGGGAACATTGTAGGAATAACAACTATTATTACATTTACTTGTTGAAAGAGTTCTAACAATTAAAATATTCTGCATTAGAGCTTTCCAGTTGTGTTACAGCAGTTAAATTCTACTGATATCAGTAAAACTGACTTACATTGCATATGTAATCAATGTTTTCAAATATTTAGATGTATTTTGCTTCTAAAACTTTATTTTTAAATTATCAATTTGTAAGCATTTATACATGTTTTTATTTCTAAAGAAAATTCAGGAATAAAAATATTTGAGAGCAAACCCACCATACTTTTACCCCTCACAGAAACTGAACAAATTTTTATTATTCCTATTCACTGTTTTTACTGTGTATTTTTGAAGATATGAAATCCGTGATGATCATACCTTGAAAATCCGGAAAGTTACAGCAGGAGATATGGGCTCATACACTTGTGTTGCAGAAAATATGGTTGGAAAAGCTGAAGCATCAGCAACTCTAACAGTTCAAGGTAAGAGCGTTTCTTTACCTAGGACTCTAACCTAAAATAAAGTTGATTTTTTTTGCACAGCAATTTAGTAATAGAGTAGCTGTACACAGCTAGTAGAGTCGCTGCTCATGCAGGAACTCTAGCTGTGTTGTTAAAAAAAGTATATAAGAAAATACAAGTTTGGTTTGAGTTACATTCTTAAGAAATTGAAGCACTTCATATGTCAGATTTTTTAATAAGCAGTATTTATAGTACTGGAATGGGGAATTTAGTATGTTATGAGCTTCATTGTGATCTGAATCATGTAACTTTCAATCTTTGTAATTAAACCCTAACAGGAAAAAGAATTCCAGTGTTATGAAACTAAATTGATTCATCTTGAAAAGAAAGTTATAAGTTCAAGTATCTGTCTTTTTTTTTTCTTTCCAATTAAATATAGTGAAGAGCAGCGAATGATAAACTGTGTATCTTTTAATACACTAATGCAGACCACTGGAATTCCTGTTGCTTTTTCATTATACAAGCGTGTCCTAGCACTACTGTTTCTTTGTAAGATAAAAATTCAGTGGAACTTGGTGAACTAATATGTATAAAAATCCTTCATTGCCTTTATATACACAATCCAGATGTTCACTATTCAGATAATCCTTCTCTTCCTTTCCTGGCTAGCAGGGAGACAATGATGTCATCCTGATGCTTTTTTCTAAGCACTGATGGTCCTTCTCTCCTTTTCTCTGTTTAGTGGGAATTAGTCATTGTGGAGTTCTGGGGAAGCATAGGCATCAAAATATTTTATTTGGTGACAGGCCTCTACTTTGACACATTTACTGTAACAGGAAAGGTCTTGTCCTTAACCTGCTCTCCTTTTTCCACCAGAAACATTTGGTGTCCGTAACATCTGTAGCTGTTAGTAAAATAGGAATTCTTTTGTTGAAGCTCTCATAAAACCAAGAATATTGAGATGTTCTGTTTTGTTAGTCAACGTGATGTTTATACATCAAAACTGATACCTTATGTTGCAAAATCACCAGCTTTATAGTTAGTATTGTAGAATAAAAGATTAACACATGAGAGTAAGCACAGTATCTTCGAAAAAAATGACTGAATTATTTTTAAATGACAGTTTGCTCTGAAGATCATGTCTTATATTAACTGTTAGTCTTGTAAAGGAAAATTTGCTTTATGAAAGGTTGAGCAGTTACATTTAAGGAAATAAGCTATTGGTAGCCCTAATCCCCTTCATAGTCCTATTCAAAATAATTAGCAAATGCATTCTTGTAATCTCATTTAGTTCAACGGGGCCTTTAGATATAAAGTGACATAAGTATGTAGATGTTTGAGCTCTAGAGTGAGATTTTAATTTTTTTATAATAAAATTATTTTTAAAGGACCATGATCAAAACCTGTCTCGATTCAGCAAGATCCTTTTTTTTTTTTTTTTTTTTTTTTTTTTAAGTACTTGTATCACACAGATATTTACATTGTAACAGCTTGGCTCTGTGTATGGTGTTATGGGATAATTTGTTTCCTAGTGTGAATGGATTACCTCCTGAGCCATTTGTCTGTACTAATGTCTTTGTAGAAAGGATTGATGTGAGAAACTGTAGTGTATAATGCCAATTTGTAGTTGATAATGTAGTAAACTATGATCAAAATCCACTTATGAGAGTATTCAGGAGACGTAGTTTATGGGAAGGAAAAAAATTAAAAGACTCCCCTAGAAAACATGCATTTTCCATTTAGATTTTTTACACATTTTTCCTTTGTGGATTTGATATTCTTGTTTCAGTGCTAAGATCACAGGATCACAGGCTGGTTTGGGTTGGAAGGGACCTTGAAGTTCATCTAGGTCCAAACCCCATAGATCTGACTGTTAGTGGACAAAGCTCTTTGAGGATTTTTTTATTATTATTTATTTATTTTCATATGAGTAGTATTTTTTCCGGGTAATTTAAGGAATAGAAATTATAAGTTTCTTCCATGCTTTTATTAATTGTCCCATGATGTCTTGACTGTAATATATATGTGTTCTGGCATGCCAGATGGTGGAATTTTGTTACGTCTTTGTAAACAGAGGTCTGTGTTACCCATCATAGCCTCAGAAGTTACACCTGCCATTGTATACACTTGCTTTATTCAGCGAAGATCAAAGAAGTGGTTTTTTTCCCTTTAGTTTTGGGTTTGACTGAGTTTTGGTGGGTTTTGTGAGGGTTTGTTTTGTAGTTTTTCCCCATCAGTAGGTCAGCAGTAGGCAGTGGTGTTTTCATGCCAGAATACAGTCCAAGAAAGGATATAAGGGTTGTTAATGGTAGCCCCAGAATATGCATATCCATGTTAGGAAAAGGGCAGTCATCATCTGTCAAGTGTCTGTAGAGTGGAACTGCGGCACTAAATGAGACTTGACACACAGCAGAAAGCGCTGTAAGCAATGCTCCTCAGGATCCTGCTCAAGCCTTGGTGTTGGTAGCACTGCTAAGATGACTTATCCTCTTCCATACTCATCATTTTTCAGGCCTCAAGCACTGTGATTGACCTGTGTATGTTCTGCACTCTGCAGGGTTATCTGGAGTGTTAAAAGGTGGAGTGTGCAGCAGAGGGGCTAATTGAGATACCTAGGTGTCAGGGATGTGTTGGTGAAATACAGTGAATAACTAACCTGGTGTCTCAGCAGAGAGCTGCCCTGGACTGGGCAGTATTATTACCTCCTCCTTGATCTAGCAGAAGTTGGAGTGCATAGTGCATGCCCTGCAGTGCTCCCTGTCTAAGGAAAACTTCACAGTGCTGCTTGTGAGCTGCAGGAATGGACCCTCTATCTGTGGACTAGGAACTGTCAACTCAGATAGTTCAGCTGTATATAATAGGATGCAAACAGTGGAAAATACAAAAGAGGGAAGGGAATATCAATTAACTTTTTATGTTCTTCCTACTTATGGCACCAGCATCACAGAATCTGATTACTGGAATCACTGTTTTCCTTTGTACGGACTCCTAACTTTGGGGATTAGAAGTATTTGGGGGATGATAAGTATTTCCCATGTGAAATTTAGATGCTGTATTTTGATTGTGATTTCAGCCATATTCTTAAACCACAATTAAAGTTCTATATTGACATAGAAGTTTGAACCTTCTGCTTAAGTCTTTCACTATTGCAGTGTAAAAGCATTTCCATCCTTGAAACTGTTTGTCAGGTTATCTTATTTTCTCCTTGGAAAATAAAATACTTAAGAAAATGTAATCCTGCTGCTGTTTGCATTTTCCTGAAATTAAGAGTGTCACAGTCTACCATTTTCATTTTACAGCACTGTGTAGTGCATATGGAAGGCATCCCAGAGATGTTGCTGAATACATACGGGAGCGTTTCATTCGGGAGGTGATTAATTATTAAATAAATGCCTCAGTCAATACAAACTGGCAGTACTCATCCCAGAGTACAATACATTATATTTTACCAACACACTACATTTTATCAAGTAGCTGATGTGCTCAACTTGAACCAGTGGATTTGTCTTTTGCTGTAGCACTAATCAAGTTGGATATACTTATTATATATGTGAATATTTGCAAGATGCTTTTCATGGGGTTTTTTTGAGTTTTTTTATTCTGGGATTTGCTTAGTTTTATGCCTTGAAGCAGAACTGTAGAAATTACAATATTGTATGCAATTTCATTGAAGCCCACATTCCTAAGACACACAAAATTGCCAAAAATACATGCCTGAGAACTTCATCTCTAGAAGAGGTTTAGTTTTACCACTCATGAAAATAAAACTAGGGCTTCTTCAAAAACCTTTAAATTTCATATTTAATTATAAAAATACTTATGAGTACGTGTAACAACCAAAGGTTTTACATATTTCCCCCTACTTCCATTTGTTGTTCTCCCACTTTCAATACTTACTAAGGTTTTTTTTTTAACATCTAATTTTGTAATAAATTTATAATTTATACTGAAATAAGCTTTACTACATTATGGCTTGAAATTATGGCTCCAGTGGAAGTCCTGCTAGGCAGTTGGTCGAGAACCATTATAGCAATGACAGTGTAGTTGCTACTCGGCAGGAGCTGGAAGAGAAACAAGTCAAGTAGGTCAGTTGACTTGAGAACTTCACAAGAATAATATCAACATGGCAACTTGGTCACCAGCACCTTGGTGGTGAAAAACAATCCTCAAACTTTGAGTTCTTCTTGACTTCTCCTCAAGCAGTGACTGGAGGAGCTTGCAATCCTTGTTAGGGTGCCCTACCTAATATGCATCTAAACATGCAGCAGCAGTGACTGAACTGTAAGGTTTAAATTTTGCCATTCAAAGATGCTAAACACATTCAGTGTTATCAGTTTGGCAGGAAAAAAAGAAGAAATCCTATGGAAATTACTCTGGCCAATTAATATTTTACAGTGGTGATCTTTGATATCAAGATTTTTTTAGCCTATGTTGTGGTTAATTTTAGGGCTAACAGAGCTTGTCTGCAAGGTGCATAGTGAGCAGAGCTTCTGATGAGTGGCCTCTGGCTGTGATTTTGATGTACTAGTCAACTGACAAAGAATTTTAATCTGAGAAGGTGGCACATGCTTCAGATCTGGAAGTTCTTTCTCCTACCACCCCTTCTTTGTACAAAGTAGCTTTAAGGCAATATGTAAAAGACATCTATTTGATAAGGCTTCTGGGTTGGGCTGAGAATACCACCCAGAATGAAAAGGAATAGGATTTGCTCTTTTATCTGCCAGATAACATATACATGTTTCCACTGTGTCATGCCATTGGTACATATTGTAAGTTGGCTGTGAATGTAATTGCTTTCTAGGCATCTGAGCTACCTCCATGAAAATAACAAAGACAAAAATCAGATTTTTGTGGGAATATAAAAATGCTAGGGAGTTATATGGTGGTTCTTATGTATTGCAGTGAATGCCTCAGAGTATCATAGGTGAATTTAACCACTGGAATTTTAAAACTAGGATTTCGATTTAAATCTGAAGTTGTCTACATGTTTTCTCTTTGAGTCAGTATTTCTCCTTTTGGAA